ACTAGTAAAATGTTGAAAATCACAGAAAAACACAATGAAACTTTGGCGAATCAAAAAAATACTTGGCGTGCATATGTATGGCATTGAGATATACATTTGCACCAATTTGGAAAAAAATTGGACAGAGCATATCAAAGTTATAGGAGGCAAAAGACGGACGAACGAACAGACGGACGGACGGACAGAACCCAATCTATAAGCCTTCGACAGACTTCGTCTGCGAAGGCTAAAAATGTAAAACAATGTCACCATGGTGAATGTACAGATGACAATGTAAAACAATGTCACCATAGTGAATGTACAGATGACAATGTAAAACAATGTCACCATAGTGAATGTACAGATGACAATGTAAAACAATGTCACCAAGGGTAAGGTACAGATGAAAATGTAAAATGATGTCACCATAGTGAATGTCCAGATGAAAATGTAAAACAATGTCACTATGGTGAACGTACAGTAACAATGTAAAACAATGTCTCCACAGTGAATGTACAGATGATGATGTAAAATTATGTCACCAAGGGTAATGTACAGATGAAAATGTAAAATGATGTCACTATAGTGAATGTACAGATGACAATGTAAAACGATGTCATCATAGTGAATGTACAGATGATGTAAAATGATGTCACCACGGTGAATCCCAACACAACTTTTTCAGTGAGAATTACAAGACAAATAAACTTACGCAGAGTATCCATTGACCATATGAGAATATTTAATGACCATAATGTCTAGCCATCCACACCGTCTTTTACGTCCTGTTGTTGTCCCGTATTCATGACCTTGTTTTTGTAGTATCTCTGCCACTTCCTATTAGTATCAGAAGATATAGATCACAATAAGAACAGAAAACATGTAAAAAATATAAAGGATTAAAATTAAATATTATAGTTATCAGTCCATTATGCTGGATGGAGAATCACAATTTCTTGTTCAAGTTGATGATGTACAACTACCTTGACTAATTTCTTTAATGAATGAAACACATCAGAAATTAAGATATATTTGAAATAAAATTGTTATTCTTGACTCATCTTTATTTCATAGTTCTTAAAAACTCTGAAAGCAATTTTCCGGGCATTAGTTCGGAGTATCTCATTTGGTCAGTTTCTCACCTGTCCACAGGGATTGGCAATTTGTACATTTACCCTTCCCAATCTAAAGTCTGAGACAGGTGGACAGGCCTTAATTTTATTGGTCAGTTTGTAATTTGGTCAGCACTAAAAAATAATAATTGTCTTTTCTATGCCTGTTCCAACCATATTTTAAGTACCGTAAAACTTATTTTATACAAATTAGCCATATTTAATCATATCTAAATTAAGTATGTTCTACCCGCAAAAATAATTTTGCTCATTTACTTTCATTGATGTAGTACATGACTCTAAGGAAAGCCTAATCATAATTTTTTTAAATTGGTCATCAATCGCATAACAATGTTTATTATGTAGAATCATGAAGCTAATGTCCCATGGTATAATGAAATAGCATTATTTTGTGTGTTACAGTTATGCTTTTTGAGAAACGTGTCCCAATATTTCTTGAAAATTGCTATTTTTAGAACAATTCCATAGAACACAATGTTGAAGAAAAATTGTATTTTTTGACACTTTTTAAAACCCAGATGTGTTAAATAATTCAGAACAAAAAGTACTTCATCATTAACAATATATGATTTTTTCAGCCTATGTCACAAGGCTAGATTTTGAGATATTGCATATTATCTCTGCCATAGGAACCTGTGGTAAAAGTGTTATAATAGTGTCAAAATGGCGACTTTCCACTAAAATATAACCATCAATTTCTCAAACAATTTATTGCAAAATGAATAAATTCTGGGTTTTTTAATTTATGAGTAGGCTTCTACTCACACTCAACTATTTATGAAGACCGTCACTAATTCTGATATGTCACTGCTAGTAATGACATGTCAATTGAAGTACAGCTAACACAACTGAGTGACTTACCCCAAACTGTTCTGTTGGTAGAATCCCTTCACCAACTCTTGTGGTATAGGCTTTAAAAACACCAAACACGTCACCTACTTTACACGGTGGAATTCCCAGACCTGTACACACTCCACCAACTGAACAGCTTGATGATGTCACATATGGATAGGTGCCTGTACAATATGATATAAATGATACTCATTCAAAGTATGCCCTCTATGGTAAACATAGGAGATGTTTCTTGAGATGTGCACATATTACCTACTACTGGTAGATTGATAAAGTTGTTTTGCATTCATTCAATCCAAGGACAATCACCTAACAGACAAACTACAACCAGTTTTTAAGTTTGCCTAATATATAAAATATTTGTTTATCACAAATTAAGATGACACATTTATAGTCAATTGTAAATTTTCGCTATTAACTTTGGCGATTTGATGACAATATAGCGAAACCAGCCTAATTATCTTAAGAATCCTAAATGAAATGTATAATTGTATTAATGAATGAATGAAACACTGCTATAGATTTTTCTTTTCCGACTCCTGACAAAGTTCTTGAAAAGTCTCCAAAATTAAGTTTATTGAAGTATGAATTTTTGTATGAATCCAATAACAATTGTATAATTTTTCACATGTGCCATATACATCTATTTTAAACATAAACAGCTTACCAAAATCAATGTCCAACATTGTAGCATTAGCGCCTTCAACAATAATATTTTTATGGGGATCATTGAGAGCTTCAAATAATGCATATATCGTATCTCCAACCATTGGACGAATCTTGTCCCCATATTCCTAATAAATATTAATAAAATACATTATCCTATGGAGCCTCAAAGACTTCTGGGATAAAATAATCACATGTATTTATGAAAGTAAAAGCCTATTTTGCCAATGATTCAACCTCATTTTTGAGAACAATTCTTCGTATAACATGATACTGAATGTTAATTACTGATTATGGATAAATAGCAAAGAATGTGACGTTTCTTGCAGAACTAATGTGCTTATTTGTGATCCAAAAAGATCGATCTCAACATACCATAGTTGTCAGTATGAGCACCCATGCCCGGGCAAACGCCCACTCCCCAATTTGGATACAATAAAGAAATCAACAGACAGAAGCTGACAGACCGTGAAATTGGTGGATTAAAATCCAAATTGTATCCGACGACATTAGCGAACTTCAGGACAATGACACTGACTTGAATTTTGATGGTTTTGAATTTGTTGGCAATGAACATACAAATAGAGATCTGAGAAGTTTTTTCAAACTGAAATTTTTACTATGTAAATTTGTAAATTATTATTGATCTTTTATGAATGTTGATCCAGTACTTGTCAAAACTGGGCATAATTTTACATAGTTTTATCCCTGACATTTTAGTTCATTTTGAGTTCACACATAATGGGCGTCGTTGTGTGCGGGGAAATCCTAATTCAAATGATTCTTCACTGACGATTTTTATTATTTCTGGTATATTAGTCACATTATAAACAATTATTTAGTTTTACTTCTAATGTTGCATATTGTTTATTTAGGTTGCATGTTTTTATTTGCCATTCTATTCCCTGCCGCAGTTTGATCTGCGTGTTGTAAATTTTGCAATTTTTCATGTTCAGAACACTTGGCCTTTACCCGGACAAATACGATACATGGATCCAAACCCTACACACAGACATCAAACCTAAATAATTGTATGGATTGGAAAAACCAACCAAATATATATAAAATATCAAATCTGAACCAAAAAAATATCTGAGAAATGGAATAAGAACACATAAAATATATGAAACAAATGTTGATATACAAGTCAAAGATTAATGTAAAACATCTGTAGAACTTCCTGTCTTGGTTTATTAAATTCTATACAGGGCAGGGCAGGAAGTGATATGAATTATTTATATCAATCTATATATATCACTACTACAACAGAATGAATTTATAAATACACTTGGAATTACTTTGAAAATAGATTTATAACTTAAATAGTTAAGTAATTGATTATTATAAATTAATCAATTTTTTTATTTATTCAATCAGTCATTTTTTCAATATTTCAGATATACTTCAACTTTTATCATCTAAATATTAATTTTTTTTTACTATATATGATACATGTATAGACATAATAATTTGCATCAGAAAACAAAAAAATTGACTTTACAGTAACTCCTTTTTACAGAAAAACAATTTTTATTTTAATTTTAAAAACAAGTCTTTTTTTCAAAATCTATCAAGAAAAGATTAGCTATCATCTGCATGACAGTGCATATGAAATAAAATAACAACCAAATTTACCAGTATGATTGAAAGTCAGTGAATATTCTATATTTTCTAGCAGACAGAATGAAATGCCTGCACAAGAATCACCGGTTTATCCAGTGTAGGAAATTTGTCCAGATTACATACCAGACAAAAGTTACAAGCCCTGCTAAAATGTTACCAGTCCCACACATTTTTTCAATTATTTTCGCACACACACACACACACACACAAATAAACACAAGTTGTATACAATATACTATGCATGGTTTATTTTAACAACAAAGTAGCTGTAGAGAACATGCATATTCAGAACATGATATATCAGACGTCTGTGTCACTGTTGCTCTCGGCTAGATCAGAAAAATCTGAACCATAGTCAGAATCTAATCCAGCTACCAAATGAGCATCACCATCTGTTTCAGCTTTTGCAACTTCCTCCTCATCAAGTGCATTAGCAGCTCTCTGCTGCTCTACTGCTTCATCTACTGCCTGTATAGCACTCAACTTCTTTCTCCTCTGTCCTTCCATAAAACTTGGTTTTCGGTGGTGATGTCGATTCCATTGGTGTATGGAAGGAATTGGATCAAATTCAGAGACTGAAGGAGAGTGCATCTGTATGGTCATCAACATGGGCATGGTTGAACTCTTCAATTTGTTTCTGTACTGGGTTTTTGTAGCTTTCATCTGTGGAAAGCCCCTTTCACACTCAGATGTTCCTGCTGGTAGTAACAACATCAAGTCAACTACACCAAGAATGTTGGGGAACTCCACACGAAACAGGTTATTGATTGTCTGCCATGACATACTG